GATCAAGAAACACAGGCTCCTAGAAACAGCATGCAGAAGGCAGCCGCAGCTGAAAGGGTTCAGCTCTGGTTCCCTCCTCAGTGCACTGGTGGGGCTGGGGCTGGGGCTGGGCAACATGCTTTGCGTGTGTTGACTACAGTCCCCAGGCAGAAGTGGGGAGATTCAGGACAGATTGCTATCTCTTGGCTGTGATTTTCCTGATCCTTTGTGTTCATTTAGGGGAAAGTTTTCTCATACAAAATGACTCCCAGGAGCTCTGTCCAGAACCAAAAAATAAAACAAAAATGCAACCAAAACCACTGCCTTCTCAGGAGGCCAAAATAGGAAGTGGGGTCCAGTGCCATTGTTGTCTCTGCCAGCATAGGCCAGACAGGAGGACCATTGCTGGCCCTGGTGCCAGCCAGAGCCCTGTTGACACTACCTCCCATGAGCCCTGAATCAGAGGCACCTGGAAGGGTTATTAGCAGGATTGGAACTCATCCCTCTGCTGGGACTAGATCATAATTACAGTAATTTTCTAACAGAGCTCGGCAGTACGACTGTTTAATCAGCATCTGACTCCCTTGTGCTCCCAGTCCTCATTACTCAAGGAGAGGAGTGGGATGACTCTTAAAGAGACAGTGCCCGCCTTTTAGCATTTTGAACAGATGTGCCCTAATTGGTAGAATATATCTAAGTCTCACAGCTTACAGCAGGCAGGCTGCATTGCCTCCAACAAACCGCCTCAGGCTTTCACTGTTCTGGGCCTTCTGCCGGAAGGATTCAGGTCAGGCTGCTGGTGGGCTGGGCTTCCCACACCAACACAGCCACCAGAGAAAGGGCACGCAGGGCTAGAGCACTTACGGGATTTGAACAGGCTGGTCCCTTCTGAACTGATGGTACCAAAGAAAAAGTGCTTCACTGAAGGATGGGAAGGAGAGACTTGATAGCCATGCATTAAAAGAAATTTTGGCTGGTGGCTTCCCATAATCCAGAGATTCCAGAAGCATCTTTAGTTCCTGTCCTTCCAGGGAAAAAAACCTTAGAGACTTTCCAGTAGTCTCCTAATTCTCACACCCTAGCTTTATCACCTCTGTTTATTATATGTGGGCCTTTGACCACCAAGAAAGTACTCCTTTGCTTCTTTTCCTTCTCCTTTACTTGTGAAAATAGACCAGATCTCCCCTGAACAAAAGAATTACTCACTCCGTTCATTGAGTCAGAAGCACTCTGTCTCCCAGGAAGTATAGTTCTTATTAAGCTTTTCTTTTTTTTTCTTGGAGACGGAGTTTTGCTGTTGTTACCCAGACTAGAGTGCAATGGCACGATCTCGGCTCACCGCAACCTCTGCTTTCTGGGTTCAAGCAATTCTCCTGCCTCAGCCTCCCGAGTAGCTGGGACTACAGGCGCGCACCACCGTGCCCAGCTAATTTTTTTGTATTTTTAGTAGAGACGGGGTTTCATCTTGTTGACCAGGATGGTCTCGATCTCTTGATCTTGTGATCCACCCGCCTCGGCCTCCCAAAGTGCTGGGATTACAGGCGTGAGCCACCGCGCCCGGCCAAATCTTTTGAGCATAAGTTGTCTGTGTTTATATCTCGAGATTTGAGGTCTCCAGTGCTTTTCCCCCCACTAAGAAGTCCTATCTCTAATAAAGGCTGGACGCAGTGGCTCACACCTGTAATCCCAGGACTTTGGGAGGCCGAGGCAGGTAGATCACCTGAGGTCAGAAGTTCAAGATCAGCCTGGTCAACATGCTGAAATGTTGTCTCTACTTAGCTGGGCATGGTGGCGGGCTCCTGTAATCCTAGCTACTTCAGACGCTGAGGCAGGAGAATCATTTGAACCCAAGAGGTGCTGCAGTGAGCCAAGCCGAGATCATGCCACTGCACTTCAGCCTGGGCAACAGAGCGAGACTACATCTCAAAATAAATAAATAAAATTTAAAAAGCTGTATTCCTAATAAGAAGCCAGAACTGGCTCTCACCACCCTATTAGTAAGCCAAATACATACTTGGTCTTTGTAGGAAGGAGGGGGGTTCCCCAAAACAGTTTAGAAGAGCTGAAGCAGGAAGTAGATGAGAGATAAGAAGTGGGGCTGGGGGCAGTGGCTCAGGCCTGTAATCCCAGCAGTTTGGGAGGCCGAGGCAGGCCGATCACTTGAGGTCAGGAGTTTGAGACCAGCCTGGCCAACATGGTAAAACCCCATCTCTAATAAAAATACAAAAATTAGCCAGGCGTGGTGGCGTATGCCTGTAATCTCAGTTACTTAGGAGGCTGAGGCAGGAGAATCACTTAAACCTGGGAGGCAGAAGTTGTAGTGAGTAAAGATTGTGCCACTGCACTCCAGCCTGGGTGAGAATAAGACTCCATCTCAAAAAAAAAACTACATCTCAAAAAAAAGTATAGTGGGTAAGAACAGGAAAGGGAGCACTCATCCACAGTTCAAAAAAAGGTACTTTGAGCTAGCCCCGCCCCTCCAGCTTCAGATCCTGCCCAGTGCTCCACTAAGGAAGTGCTATGCCGCGCTGCAGTGGTTGTTTGGCTTTAGCTACATCTCAGCTGGCTGCTCATACATAAATCCACAGACGCCACTCCAGCCTCTGATTTAATGCTCCTGCAGCCTCTGTGAGGGAGGCTGGGAACTGGTCTATTCCCCTTTCTACCCCCAACCCCTCCTCACATCAAATTCTTCAGGCCTACTGTCTATCCCACCCCTAAAGGTATTAAGCATATTCTGCAAGAGCTGAGGCATATAAACAAATTCACATGCGTGGAACTAACTTAATGCTCAATCAGATTGTTAAAAAGTCATGATCAGGTTAAAAAGGCCAGGTGTGGTGGCTCATGCCTATAATCCTATCCCTTTGGGAGGCCAAGGTGAGTGGATCACCTGAGGTCAGGAGTTAGAGACCATCCTGGCCAACATGGTGAAACCCCATCTCTACTAAAAATACAAAAATTACCTGGGTGTGGAGGCATGCACCAGTAGTCCCAGCTACTTGGGAGGCTGAGGAAGGAGAATCACTTGAACCCGGGAGGCGGAGGTTGCCGCCGAGATTGCACTACTGCACTCCAGTCTGGCGACAGAGCCAAATTCCATCTCAAAAATTAATTAATTAATTAGGCCGGGCACAGTGGCTCAAGCCTGTAATCCCAGCACTTTGGGGGCCGAGGCAGGTGGATCACAAGGTCAAGAGATCGAGACCATCCTGGTCAACATGGTGAAACACTGTCTCTACTAAAAATACAAAAAATTAGCTGGGCATGGTGGTGCGTGCCTGTAATCCCAGCTACTCAGGAGGCTGAGGCAGGAGAATTGCCTGAACCCAGGAGGCGGAGGTTGCGGTGAGCCAGATCGCGCCATTGCACTCCAGACTGGGTAGTAAGAGCGAAACTCCGTCTCAAAAAAATATTAATTAATTAATTAATTAATTGAAATAAAAATACAAATTAAAAATTAGCCAGCTATGGTGGCAGGCCCTGTAATCCCAGCTACTCAGGAGGCTGAAGCAGATGAATTGATTGATCCTGGGAGGTGGAGGTTGTAGTGAGCTGAGATTGCTCCCTGGGCAGCAAAGAGAGACTCTGTCTCAATTAAAGTGCACACATAAACACTCACTGAGCTCTGTTTCCTCAATGAAAAAAGGAGCACATATCTGCCCTACCTTCCTCGCTAGGCACTAAGAAGAGCCAATTTAATTATGCTTATATAAGTTAGTATTTTCATATAAGAAAACCCATCCCTACACACAAATATATTTCCTTCCACCAAACAAAACAGCCCCCATAAGCTTGGAATCAGTCTTCCTGGGTAATGGATGACTAGATGTGGGTCATGGAGGTATGTGACAGAAGAAAGGTGACTAAATCAGAACAGAACTTGACTCAAAACTGAATTCTAAACAAAATATTTTTATTTTACAAACAGCTCAATGAGCCACTCTCCCCATCTAATACCCCATCTTTCATAGAGGTCATCCAGCCATGCAGGGACAGAGAAGAGGTGCCTATGGCACTATCTGGATGGAGAGGAAAACTCATATGCACAATTTTTCTGATGACCCCAAGCCTGTATTCTTAGAAAAGTGCTTTCTTTCTTAGGACTTCTCCTTCCAAGGCCTATACTTAACTCAGAGAGAGACTGAAAGGAGATGGTGCCTGGCCTTAGATTAACCGAGGTGCTGTTGTAGGCACGCTGCTAATGGATCATTAAAAAACTGGGAGTCGGAAAAATCACATCCATGTCTTTGAATGGCTCCTGCTGGCAGAACTAGCTGCTGAGCACCAACTCCAGAAAGAAAAGGAGCGAACAGAAGAAGGCCAACCCAGCTTGCTGTTTTTTGGCTGAGTAGGGAATTGACACAGACCACCTCCGGCTCCTGTCTGGAAGTTTCGAGATCAGAGAGCTTCAGGCACAGCTGGGTTCACAGCTGCACCATTTGGAGCATTGGACTCATTAATATTCATGAGCCATCCCCACCAATCGGCAGAGTGGATGCCATTAGCTTAGCATCTGTCAGGTTTTTGTAAGGGTTGCGCGTGGAGTTTTTTTCCCCTTTTAAATGAACTTCTTCTGACATTTTGGATTTGCCTCTGTAGGTTTTCTATCTTCGCCTTGCTCTGCTACATCATATAAAGGAGAGACCCAGGGGAGGCGGGCAGGAAACAGGGATGAATACCAGCCAGGGTTTTGCATCTGCCTGTTGACAAACTTTATTTCTCTTTCAGCACCTGGCACCTCAGACAGGCTGCGAGGATGGAAGCAGCATCAGGTAAATTATACCTAACAAGGTTCATGCCCAGAACTGTGAGAAGAGTTGGATCCCAGCTCTTTGGAAGGCAATCCTTCCTCCAGTGGTGAACTTGAGCTGCACACACAATGCAGGAGAGCTGCAGAGCACAGTTCTGAACCATTATTTCCACGCTGATAAATTCATGATTGATGAAAGGAACTACTGCCAGCCCTCACTCCCTCCTTCTCTGCTACAGCTTGTTAGACACAAATTGCAACAACAATCTTAAATACTTGCATTTTATTTCAGGCCAAAGCCCCTCAACTCTGAACTAAATGCCATGACAGTCCCACAGCATAGGCTCGTAGTAAAAGAGCCCACAGACAGGGTAAGATGGCCAGAGGAGGGAGGAGTGGGCAAGAGGGAGGGGAAGAATCACACAAACCAACCTAAGAGTAGAGCAATGCAGAATGCCCGTGGCACTCGGCTCCTACCAGCTCTGGCTCTCGGTGGAGATGAAGAATGGCAGCAGGACAGAATGCCTCATTGTCTGAAGGAGAACGTGTTCTTCCTCATCCCCAGAGCCCTCTCTTCCAGGCAGAAACAAAGCCCTTGCGCCCCACTGGATGAACATATGGCCTCCCTGCAGCACAGCAGAGGGATGCTGGTGGCTGAAGCCCTGGAGGCAGGGAGCTGTAACCAAAGGAGAAGAAAAGGACTCGGAAAAGAAAAGAGCCCACGCTAACCCTGCAGAAAAGAGAGCCCCCTCTCCCCTTTATAATCAGGCCCCTGAGCTGTTGCTGTTCCCTCTGGCTGTGGTCAGCCTCTTCTCTCTCATGCATGACCATGAGCTGTTGTGCAGGTCTCAGGCTCCACTCAGCCAGACTAAGGTCTTGGGACATAAAACCCCAGCAGCAGGAGTCACAGCACCAGTTCCATTCAGTGGTACCGGTGGAAGAAAAAGCAAGGTGGAGAGTAAATATTCATCCCCCTTTCCATGCAAGGAGGTAGGCAAGAGGCCAGCCTTCCAGAAACAAAGTGCTCTAGGGCTACAGCAAAAACTGAAGCCAGTCAAGATGGGGATACAATGTAATCACTCCTGTTGGGACAATGTTCAATATGGCAGCTTATAATCTGCCACATACAGGTCCCCAAAACCAGCCACTTGAGGAGGTACTCCGGGTCCTACATACAAATGACGTGTAGAAACTCAGCTCCCAGAAGAGTAAATATGGGTTCTGTTCAAAATAAACAGCCCCTAGGCCTTATGCTTAACTTACAAACATCTGCACAGTATTTATTCCCATGGAAGAGGCATAGGGGGCTGTTATGATTGACCTCTGTCAATCAGCCCAAGCAGAGGAGACTAGAAGACACTAAGCAACCCAGCCTCCCACAATACCTGCCCATGCCTAATCCCACCTGAGTAAGTCTCCTGGCCTGTATCTCCTCTGACCATCTCAGAGCAGAACCCAGAGCTCACTTTTCCAAAACTGTTTCTAACTGACCAGGATCCAAAGGCAAAGCATGGTCTCCTCCCACAGCCCTCCTCACAGACTGAGGAGTGGAGTTTCCTTCATTGGCTCTTCCAAAATCACAGCATAATGGTGAGGAGATGGGTGGGAGAGTGGGACTTTCCAATGAAGGAACCTCAGAGTCAACAACTGGAGCCCACACTTCTAAATGTCCCTTTTCTTCACTGGGAGGCGGTGAGGGAGAGTTCCTCCTACCAGATCTTGGAAGAAAGCAGCAACTGGAAAAGAGTGGAAAATGGAAAAGAAAGGTATGAACAGCTTGGGTAACATAGGGAGACCCTGTCTCTACAAAAAAAATAAAAAATAAATTAGCCAGGCATGGTGGCATATGCCTGTAATCCCAACAACTCAGGAGGCTGAGGCGGGAGGATTGCTTGAGCCTGGGAGGTCAAGGCTGCAGTGAGTTATGATTACACCACTGCACTTCAGCCTGTGCGACAGAGTGAGGCTCTGTCTCAGAAAAAAAAGAATATGAACATATAAACAAAAATGAACAAGAAGGAAGTCTCTCTGAGCCTATTCTGGCTCAGAGGGCTGCCCAATTAAAAAAAAAATGACTGGGTATGGCGAATTGTTTGAGCCCGGGAGGTGGAGACCAGCCTGGCCAACATGGTGAAACCCTGTCTCAATTTAAAAAAAAAACTCTCTGGGCCGGGTGCGGGGGCTCACGCCTGTAATCCCAGCACTTTGGGAGGCCAAGGTGGGTGGATCACGAGGTCAACAGATCGAGACCATCCTGGTCAACATGGTGAAACCCCGTCTCTACTAAAAATACAAAAAATTAGCTGGGCACAGTGGCACGTGCCTGTAATCCGAGCTACTCAGGAGGCTAAGGCAGGAGAATTGCCTGAACCCAGGAGGCAGAGGCTGCGGTGAGCTGAAATCGGGCCATTGCACTCCAGCCTGGGTAACAAGAGCGAAACTCTGTCTCAAAAAAAAAAAAAAAAAAAAAAAATGGCCAGGCACAGTGGATCACATCTGTAATCCCAGCACTTTGGGAGGCTGAGGCGAGTAGATCACCTGAGGTCGGAGTTCAAGACCAGCCTGGCCAACATGGCGAAATCCCATTTCTACTAAAAATACAGAAACAGCTGGGCGTGATGGCAGGTGCCTGTAATCCCAGCTACTTGGGAGGCTGAGGCAGAAGAATTGCTTGAACCTGGGAGGTGGAGGTTGCAGTGAGCTGAGATCGCACCATTGCACTCCAGCCTGGGTGACAGGGCGAGACTCTGTCTCAAAAAAAAAAAATTATTAAAAATTTTAAAAATGAACAGATAAATGCAAATGAATGGATAAACAAAATGAGCTTATATAGCCATACAAATGGACTGTTATTTAGCCATAAAAATGGGAATAAAAAAGAAAAAAGTAATGAAGTAATGATGCATACTACAATATGAATGAACCTTGAAAACATTATGCTACATAAAAGAAGCCAGTTACAAAAGACCGCATATCATGACTCCCTTTGTATAAATGTCCAAAATAGACAAATCCATGGACAGATAAAGTAGACTAGTGGTTGCCAGGAGCTGGGAGGAAGGGAAGGACAGGGGAGTCACTACTCATGGGTACAAGGTTTCTTTCAGGATGATGAAAATGAAAATGTTCGAAAATTGACTGTGGTGGCTGACAGTTATACAATGCAGTGACTATACTAAAAACTACTGAACTGTACATTAAAAAGGTAAACTTTAAAAAAAATTTTTTTGAGACAAAATTTCACTCTTGTCTCCCAAGCTGGAGTGCAGTGGCGCTCGGCTCACTGCAACCTCTGCCTCCCAGGTTCAAGCGATTCTCCTGCCTCAGCCTCCAGAGTAGCTGGGACTACAGGCACGCACCACCACATTCAGTTAATTTTTCAATTTTTAGTAGAGATGGGGTTTCACCATGTTGGTCAAGATGTTCTTGATCTCCTGACCTTATGATCCGCCAGCCTTGGCCTCCCAAAGTGCTGGGATTATAGGCGTGAGCTACCGCACCCGCCTAAAAAGGTAAACTTTATGGCAGGTAAATTGTATGAAAATAAAGCTATTAGGCCAGTGGTGGTGGCTCACACTACCTAGCACTTTGGGAGGCCGAGGTAGGCAGATCACCAGAGGTCAGGGGTTCAAGACCAGCCTGGCCAACATGCTGAAACCCTGTCTTTACTAAAAATACAAAAATTAGCCAGGCATGGTGGCGCACGTCTGTTATCCCAGCTACTCAGAAGGTTGAGGCAGGAGAATCGCTTGAACCTGGGAGGCAGAGGTTGCAGTGAGCTGAGATGGTGCTACTGTACTTCAGCCTGGGAGAAAGAGTGAGCCTCCATTTCCAAGGAATAAAAATCTGAATAAATGAGAAAGCTTTCCTTTTTTTCTTCCCAGGTTTCAGAAGGAGCCCCTGCTACCCAGTGTTGGGTTAACGTAGACCCACCTGGATAGATAGCCATGCACCCAAAGAACAAGATCTCTGTAAAAGGTTATCAATGGTATAACATTACTTTCCCTAACAAATGGACACCTCTCTGGTCCAGGTTCTAGCAAACCTAGCCCCTGCTATCTCAAAGAGTACTCTGTTTACCTCTTAGGCTGGTCTCCTTTAGCCAGGTGCGAAGAGCTCTGCCTTTCTTCCTGGGCCCAGCCACAGTTTGACATAGCATATCGAAGAATGGCATCAGACACAGTCATGGTGCTTCGGCCCTGGACACAGGCTTCTATCTCAGGCACTGAGAGCTGGCTTTGCAGGAAGAGGTGCAACTGGCTGTCTGACAAGAGAACCACACTCTGCAGGACCCTGGGGAAAACACAGGTAGCACAACACAGAGCATCACCCTGAGGAACTGATCTCCATTCCCCGTCCTCTGAAGGGCTTCTGGCTACTTGAGCAGGGAGCTCCATCCTGCCTGGCACCTTCCTCCACCCACCCCTGCCTCCACACTCAGGGGCCAGTGCCAGCCCATTAAGTCCACTCACTTTTCAAGGAAGTGCTGCAGACCTTGTCGTCGCTTCTCAATAAACTCATCTGAGGTGCCGAAGAAGGTTGACTTCCCAGGAAGTTCAGGTACAGGCCTGTGGAGCCACATGATATAACACCCATGATAATTGTAACATCTAAGATAGTCATTCTAGCCTCAGATCAAGGAAATACCCTGAAAAGAGGCCTGGTCAATACAATTCGCTTTTAATAAAGGGTTGTGCTAACATTGACTGACTGAATGACAAGTGTCAAGCCAGACTATGCTAAATGTTTTATAAACATTATTTCATTTAGTCATCCCAAAGCCCCATGATAAAGATATTAGTAAACTCACTTTAGATCAGAGAAGTTAAGTAAATTTCCCACTGTTATACAGCTAGTACGCAGCAAAGCTCATATCGGAACCAGGTCTGTGACTATAAAGCCCATGCTGATACATTATTTTGTCTGTTTCTTTGATTTTAGAGACAAGGTATTGCTTTCTAAGCTGCTCTCTCCAGGTCACCCAGGATGGAGTGCAGTGGCATAATCGTGAGCTAGCTCACTGCAGCCTCAAGTTCCTGGGCTCAAGTAATCTTCCTGCATCAGCCTCCTGAATAGCTATGACTAAAGGCACGTGCCACTGTGCCCACCTAATTTATTAATTAATTTATTTACTTATGTATCTGTGGAGACAAGAGTATTGCTTTGCTGCCCAGGCTGGTCTTAAACCCCTGGCCTCAGTGAACTTCCTTCCTTAACCTCCCAAAGCACTGGATTTACATGTGTGAGCCACCAAGCCCAGCCACACTACGTGTACATAAAACCCACTCCTGGCTGGGTGCCTTGGTTCATGCCTGTAATCCTAGCACTTTTGGAAGGAGTTCAAGACCAACCTGAGCAACATGGTGAAACCTCATCTCTACTTTAAAAAAAAAAAAAAGAAAAAGAAACAGGCTTGTCATGGTTGCTCATGCCTGTAATCCCAGCACTTTGGAAGGCCAAGGTGGGTGGATCACCTAAGGTCAGGAGTTCAAGACCAGCCTGGCCAACATGATGAAACCCCATCTCTACCAAAAATACAAAAACTAGGCCAAGTACAGTGGCTCACACCTGTAATCCCAGCATTTTGGGAGGCTGAGGCAGGCAGATCACCGAGGTCGGAAGTTCAAGACTAGCCTGACCAATGTGGAGAAACCCCGTCTCTACTAAAAATACGAAATCAGCCAGGCGTGGTGGTACATGCCTGTAATCCCAGCTACTTGGGAGGTTGAAGCAGGAGAATCTCTTGAATCCAGGAGGCAGAGATGACAGTGAGCCGAGATTGGGCCATTGCACTCCAGTCGGGGCAACAAGAGCGAAACTCCATCTCAAAAAAAAGGCTAGGCACAGTGGCTCATGCTTGTAATCCCAGCACTTTGGGAGGCCAAGGCGGGTGGATCACGAGGTCAGGAGTTTGAGACCAGCCTGGCCAACATTGTGAAACCCCACCTCTACTAAAATTACAAAAAAAAATTAGCCAGGCCTGGTGGCGGGCACCTGTAATCCCAGCTACTTGGGAGGCTGAGGCAGAAGAATTGCTTAAACCCAAGAGGCAGAGGTTGCAGTGAGCTGAGATCGTGCAACTGTACTCCAGCCTGGGCGACAGTGAGACACTTTGTCTCAAAAAAAAAAAAATCTCTGGGGTGTGGTGGCACATGCCTGTAATCCCACTTACTTGGGAGGCTAAGGAAGGAGAATCACTTGAACCCAGAAGTGGAGATTGCAGTGAGCCCAGATAGTCCCACTGCACTCCAGCCTGCGTGACAAGGGCAAGACTCCATCTCAAAAAAAGGCCGGGCGTGGTAGCTCACGCCTGTATCCCAGCACTTTGGGAGGCCGAGGCAGGCAGATCACCTGAGATCAGGAGTTAAAGACCAGCCTGACCAACATAGTGAAACCCCATCTCTACTAAAAAAACAAAAATTAGACGCATGTAGTGGTAGGTTCCTGTAATCTCAGCTACTTGGGAGGCTGAGGCAGGGACAATTGCTTGAACCCAGGAGGCAGAGGTTACAGTGAGCTGAGATCAAGCTATTGCACTTCAGCCTGGGTGCAGAGCAAGATTCCATCTCAAAACCAAAAAAAAAAAAAAAAAAAATTATTTCCCAGCCAAGCATGGTGGCTTATGCCTGTAATCCCAGCAATTTGGGAAGCCAAGGCAGGAGAATTGCTTGAGCCCAGGAGTTCAAGACCAGCCTAGTAACATAAGGAGACCCCATCTCTACAAAAATATTTTACAAATTAGGCAAGTATGGTGGCATGCACCTGTAGTCCCAGCCACTCAGGAAGCTGAGGTGGGAGGATTGCTAGAACCCAGGAAGTCGAGGCTGCAGTGAGCCATGATCATGCCACTGCACTCCAGCCTAGGCAATAGAGCAAGACCCTATGTCAAAAAAAAAATCAAAAAACAAAAAAAGAAACAACATATTTCTCAATTTCCTTAGTGCTTAGTATGTTGCAAGTTCTCTTCACCGTCAACTCCAGTTCCTACATAAGCACCCAAAAAGCCAGTCACAGACCCGAGAAGGAAGCAAGAGCAAACTCACACCAAACCAGCATTTCTCTGTAGCTGCTTTCTCAGCCACACGAACTCACGGTAGCGGCGCCGCACACAGGAAGTCTTGGCAGTAAAGGCTTTGCTGTTGGTCTATACATGAGGATGTACATGAAAAGGGTTTAGTGGAAGAAGACAAGTTCACACGAACTCCCTATCATTGCTTTCACTGAGGAGCCATGCCATCAGGCCACAGACCTGATCATGTCCCCAACTAGAACAAGGTGCCATCAGGTAGCCTGAAAGCAACTCAAAGACATACCTCAAGCTCTCTTTCCTTTCCTCTCTCCCTTTTCTTTTGCCTCGGGTCCACCAGAAACACTCAAAAATAGTTTACATGCCACTGGCATGGTGGCTCATGCCTGTAATCCCAGCATTTTGGGAGGCCGAGGCAGGTGGATCACCTGACGTCAGGAGTCCAAGACCAGCCTGGACAACATGATGAAGCCCTGTCTTTACTAATAGCTGGTCGTGGTGACATGCCTGTAATCCCAGCTACTTGGGAGGCTGAGGCAGGAGACTCACTTGAACCTGGGAGGCAGAGGTTGCAGTGAACCGAGATCATACCATTGCACTCCAGCCTGGGCAACAAGAGTGAAACTCCGTCTCAAAAAAATAAAATAAAATAGGGGCCGGGCATGGTGGCTCATGCCTATAATCTCAACACTTTGAGAGGCCGAGTTGGGTGGATCACGAGGTCAGAAGTTCAAGACCAGCCTGGCCAAGATGGTGAAACCCCACCTCTATTAAAAATGTAAAAATTGGGCCAGGCATGGTGGCTCAAGCCTGTAATCCCAGCACTTTGGGAGGCTGAGGCCGCGGATCACAAGGTCAAGAGATCAATACCATCCTGGCCAACATGGTGAAACCCTGTCTCTACTAAAAATACAAAAAAATTAGCTGGGCATGGTGGCATGGGCCTATAGTCCCAGCTACCCGGGAGAATTGCTTGAACATGGGAGGTGGAAGTTGCAGTGAGCCAAGATCGAACCACTGCACTCCAGCCTGGCGCCTGGCGACAAAGCAAGACTCTGTCTCAAAAAAAAAAAAAAAAAAGGTTTTACCTCAGTACAGCCCTCAGCCCTGCAGAGCACAGATCCTAATATAGAAGCTTGATGCACTCACATGAAGGAATATCTTATAATCCACATAAGAGTTCCAGGAGCCCTCATTCTGCACTCGGGGTTCCTGAACACGCACTGTAATCACCTCCTGTAGGTAAGAAAAGCTCCTTCAGCTTCAGCTACACAGCAAGGCAGCTCTGATAACACAGGTTGCTAGATTTTTCCACCCAGCACCAACTTTCATTCATTCGCTCAGTCATTCAATTCAACAGATTTTTACTGAGCCCCACTACATGTCAGACACTGTTGTAGGCATTGGGGATAAAGCATGAACAAGAGGCATAAGTCCCTGACCCCATGAAGCTTACATTCCAGTATATTCTAATCAATGGAAAATTTAGTCAGAATGGAACCCCATTTCCTAGGAATGGCTCTGCTATTGATTTCTTTCTCCTGACTTTATTTTGAGCTCATCAGAACCACCAAAGTAATACTGCAGGAAGAACACTACTGAGTAATGATTTAGATCTCTGCATCCTCCTTCCTCCTAAATCCTCTCTCCAACTTTTACCTACCTGTTCTCTGGAGACCACACTCTTACCTCCTGTTCTTGGTTCTCCGACATCCTACACCAAAAGCCCATTTGAAGAAAACATCTGATGGGGGATAGAGGACAGAGGATCAAGGTTAGTATGCCTCTGTTCTTATCATTCTTTACCAGGGAAAACCCTGAAAGTTTTTAATAGACCCCCCTGGGGAAACCCAGGCAACACTTTTTGTTCTTGTAAAACTTAAGAGGAAACAAACAAAAATCCCCATTAGCTTAGTGCCAAGCTAAAAAGCCCTGGGGGATTTGCCTCCCTTCTCAGACCAGGCCCTCACACACTCTCCCCATAGCATGCTGGAGTCTACAGAATTTTGTTACACGCAGTCAGAACAGGCTGGTTCTGATGTAAAACTTTTGCCTTGAAGACTGCAGGCACAACAGGGTCTGGTGAACTCATATCACAGCTTTGAAATCGAGCCTAACAGCGCCCCCTCCCGGCTGTTTACAGACAACCAAGTCCCCACAAACACCAATGCTCCTGCATTTCTCACTGTCTTACTAACAACCAGTCACCTCCCCACAGGTGAATCATAGAGCTAAAGCACTCCAAGAAGCACCTGAGTAGGTTGCCCAGTTGGGACCTTCCCCTTATCCAATCCATATTCTGGAACCCAAGCCAATTGTTCTAATTATTTCCGCTCCTGACATGCTATCCGGTTTGTACCTCTGCCCAAGCACCCTATAGCTGCACAGGTCGACTCAGGATGTGTTCTGCTCCTTTGTAAAGATTCATTAAAGCCTCAGCCCAATTTCCCCCAATGTGGCAGTTTACATGTATAGCGACATCACCCACTCCGACAAGGGGACCATGAAGGCTGCAGCACAGGGTTACTCAAGTCCAGTGGGGCCCATGATGTCACCTTCTGTTAAAATACAACACTAATCTTGTTACTTCTAGAACTATTCCAACAGCATCCACCCTGGCTGCCGCCTCCACCCCCTTCTCTCTTAAGAGCAGAACAATAAGGTTTAATTTCCCTTTCCAATTTACCTTGAAATGAAAACTGACTTCAGCCAATATGTACTGCCAACAAATGATCCAGGCTGGCTCCTGGGAAAACAAGACTATCTCTAATATCTCTAAGCCCTCCCTCTCCTCCCCCCATACCCATTCACATACCCACTCATTTTTACAGTCCCACAATTAATTTTAAACACATTCTCTTATTAGTTCTGCCTTACCATTAGAGAGTGTGTAATGAGTTTCCTTCTATTTTATGTTTTGCTAACACAAGGCTAACATTTCAAAAGAAGGGGAACTCATTTGCACTATGAAATTAGCAAAGCAAACAGCTTTTTCAATCCTCTCCAATATACCAGAAGGTCTCTCCACAGACAAATATTGCATGCAGAGAGGAAGCTGCATGGTCCATGACAAAAGTGGGCTACACAATGTTGAGCAAACCCAGCGTTTTGTGATTTCAGTACCATCTTAAATGGTATTCTTGCTGACAATCTGATTTTTATCTGATGCAGCCACCACCTCCACAGGGTCCTGAACTGAAAAGTGGGAAATTCCAAGTCCATAACAACCCATATATAACATTCCAGATAGTAGTCAAATGGCTAAGACCAAAAAGAGCAGACCTATTTATTTGCTGTGAACAATTAATCTCCTTAAATTTTTTTCTTCTCTTCTCTCTTTTTTTTTTGGAGACAGAGTCTCACTCTGTTGCCCAGGCTGGAGTGCAGTAGCACAATCTCGGTTCACTGCAACCTCCGCCTCCTGGGTTCAAGCGATTCTTCTGCTTCGGCCTCCCAGGTAACTTGGACTACAGGTGTGCGCCACTACGTCCAGTTAATTTTTATATTTTTAGTAAAGATGGGGTTTCAGGCTGGTCTCAAACTCCTGACATCAGGTGATCCACCCACCTCAGCCTCCCAAAGCGTTGGGATTACAGGCATGAGGCATGAGCCACCTCACCTAGTCTTTTTCTCTTCTGTTTGCTGGAATTCAATAAACTGCCAGCAAAGGAGCAGAGTTAAATATTCTGAAGTGTCTTTAAACAAAACTAACAATGGGAAAGATGATGAAAAGGAAATCATAGTCATCCACTCAGTGGAGCTCATACATCTTTTGTAACTTGAAAAAGGTTTGTCAAATTCAGGACCATAATTTAGTAATGAAATGATCATCATACCCTTGGTCTCAGGAACAGTTTGCATAGGGCCCCACACTGCCTTTATAAAGAAATTCTTTCCTTTGGGGCCAATACCCCAAAGGTATTGAGAATCACTTGAGGCCAGGCGTGCTGGCTCATACCTTAGAAACAAATAGCTATGAACTGGCTTTTAAAAACCTCCAGATGCCAGCCTGGCCAACATAGTGAAACCCCATCTCTACTAAAAATGCAAAAAAATAGCTGGGTGTCGTGCTGGGTGCCTTTAATCCCAGCTACTTGGGAGGCTGAGGCAGGAGAATTGCTTGAACCTGGTAGGCGGAGGTTGCAGGGAGCTGACATTGAACCACCATACTGCAGTCTGGCAACAGCAAGACTGTCTCAAAAAAAAAAAAAAGTTTCAGTTGTAACTGTCCTTAAAAACACTAGGCCTGCGCAGTGGCTCACCACTGTAATCCAGCACTTTGGGAAGCTGAGGCAGGCAGAATGCTTGAGGCCATGAGTTCAAGACCAGCCTGGCTAACACAGCAAAACTTTGTCTCTAATAAAAATACAAAAATTAGCCAGGCATGGTGGTGGGCACCTGTACTCCCAGCTACTGGGGAGACTGAGGCATGAGAATCACTTGAGGCCAGGCGTGCTGGCTCATACCTGTAATCCAAGCAGTTTGGAGGCCAAGGCTGGTGGATCGCCTGAGGTCGGGAGTTCAAGACCAGCCTGACCAACATGGTGAAACCTCGTCTTTAAAAAAAAAAAAGAGAGAGAGAGAGAATCGCTTGAACCCAGGAGGCAGAGGCTGCAGTGAGCCAAGATCACCACTGTACTCCAGCCTAGGTGACAGAGCAAGACCCTGCCTCAACAACAAACAAACACTGGAACAAATACAAAAACCTACATACCAAGCAGTAATTTCTAGCAACCACTATTCTCCATTAACTTCTTCCCCACAGACATCACTCCTCAGAAGAGAAAGGAGCTCAGTTCCACTTCTGGAGAAGCAGCAGGAAGTTCCTAACTTTAGTTCTATGATCTGGAAGACGGATCTGTGCCTCATCCAAATAAGGCTAAAGTCAGTGACCCTAGCTAGTTACATAACTTAATGCTAACTACATTTTCTGGGTCCTTTCAACCACATCTGAAGTTTACTTTCTTCACCTGTTCCAGCACCAATAGCTCTGGTGAGTACCCAATTGTTTGCTGTTTACAAAGTAGATTCATCATAAACCTTCCTAATATAGTAACAGTTCAAGGCTTTAGTCTGTCATTTACTTTCTGTCCTATTTAAACAACTTCAAGACACTGGTTAGGCCGGGCACGGTGGCTCAAGCCTGTAATCCCAGCACTTTGGGAGGCCGAGGCGGGTGGATCACGAGGTCAAGAGATCGAGACCATCCTGGTCAACATGGTGAAACCCCATCTCTACTAAAAATACAAAAAATTAGCTGGGCATGGTGGCACAAGACTGTAATCCCAGCCACTCGGGAGGCTGAGGCAGAGGTTGCAGTGAGCCGAGATGGAGCCATTGCACTCCAGCCTGGGTAACAGCAGCGAAACTCCGTCTCAAAAAAAAAAAAGACACTGGTTAAAAAACAAATCAGGTGGCCAGGCACAGTGGCTCACGCCTGTAAATCCCAGCACTTTAGGTGTCCGAGGCGGGTGGATCACCTGATGTTAGGAGTTCGAGACCAGCCTGGCCAATAAGGTGAAACCCCATCTCTACTAAAAATACAAAAATTAGCCAGGCATGGTGGCACACTCTTGTGGTCCCAGCTACTGGGGAGGCTAAGGCAGAAGATCTCTTCAACAAGGAAGGCGGAGGTTGCAGTGCGCCCAGATCGCAGCACTGCACTCCAGCCTGAGCAACAGATCGAGACTCAAAAAGAAAAAACAAATCAGGTGATAACAGACTGAACTACCGAGACTTGCAGTCCCTTCTTACTCAAATCTTGAGCTGTTAGTGCCAGATGGCAGATAGCAGGTAGCAACTCAAAAAGCTCTCCCTCCAATTATAAATATCAGAGGTACTAGATAGAGGAAGCTCCCAGTTCTGACCAAGCTCTGTGTAATCTGAACCAAGTAGTTATGCTCCATCTTTTTTGTCCATCTCTAACGTACTCCCTTCACTTGGAAGGTAAGTAACAAAGGCGACCACAATCTACTGCAAGTCTCCCGTGTCCACGTAAAATATTCGTCATTCCCCCCAGACCTAGCCGTTTAAGTAAATGTCCCCAGAGCTTTGTACTACGTCCACTCCTCCTTCATTCTCCACAAACTAGGAGCGAAAGGTCCACATGGTCTTTCTTCCTTTCCGATTAAGCTTGGGGAGTAGGAAATGAAAGATACACTTTGAAGATAAACTTGAAAAGCCGGGTTTCCTTTCTTGGATCCAGAACAAGCCCTTGCCTTCATCCCGAACGGTGAGACAGCCTCTCCCTAGGATGTAAAGCGATGCCACCATCCCGAGTGCCACTACTGACGCTCAAGCCCTCGCGCGCCGCCTCACCCGAGAGTAGCACCCACTCCCCGGGGCCCCGCCCACGCCCTCTCACCTGAGAACAGCACCAGCTCCCAACCGCGACACCGCCCGCGCCCCACCATATAGCCAGATCACGACTTCTCCTTCCGGGTGAGTCGCCGGTGCCCCGGTGCACGACGGGAGACGCCCCAATCCCGGGTGCCCAGGACGCCCCGCCCCTATAGGCCCGGGCTCTGAGTAAAATTCCCGCTTCCGAACAGCGCGGCTCCGCTTGCCCAGGCCCCGGACTGGAGTCAGGATTCCCCTCGACTCACTTGGGACGCTAGAGAGTGGACGCAGGTGCCGGGTGAGGGATGGCGAATGGGCTCCATGTCCAATCCGGGGCTGCGTTCCGCCCACCGTCAGGGGCAGCCAATCAGCGGCCAGGGGGCGTCAGCGATGGTCCGCCAGTGGGTCCCGGGAGCCGAGGGGTGTGAGAGGATGTTACTCCTGTTCCCATTTTGCGAGGACTGTCTGCACTGTGGGAGGTTCGGGGCGTTAGGAAGCCCAGAACCCTGGAGCGTCACTAAGTCCCGAGAGCCGCCATTTGAACCTCGTGGTTTGCTGTTCCGCAGCGGAGCTATCAAGGGGACTCCGATTCAGATTCGTAAAGCCACTGACCGATTATCAGAATGAAAGCCAGACTCGAGAGGGTCCGGCAACTCAGATTGAAGTGACCGAAACACACCCGAAGCAGCATCATGCAGCTAGGTCGCAAGAGAAAGCCGTTCAGTGTGTTAAGACTTTTGCGGTGCTATCGAAATGTCTTTTAGCCACTTTTTTTTTTTTTGAGACGGAGTTTCGCTCTTGTTACCCAGGCTGGAGTGCAATGGCGCGATCTCGGCTCACCGCAACGTCCGCCTCCTGGGTTCAGGCAATTCTCCTGCCTCAGCCTCCTGAGAAGCTGGTATTACAGACACGCGCCACCATGCCCAGCTAATTTTTTGTATCTTTAGTAGAGACGGGGTTTCACCATGTTGACCAGGATGGTCTCGATCTCTTGACCTCGTGATCCACCCGCCTCGGCCTCCCAAAGTGCTGGGATTACAGGCGTGAGCCACCGCGCCCGGCCGCCACTTATTTAAAGATAATTTCAGCATGCCGAGCGCAGTAGCTCACGCCAGGATCCCAACACTATTAGGGTGGCCGAGGCAGGAGGATCACGTGAGGCCAGGTTTGAGACATGCCCTACCAATTTAAGGAGACCATCGTCTCTACAAAAAAATTTAAAAATTATCGGGGTGTGCTGGCACGCGCCTGTAGTTCCAACTACTCAGGAGGCTGAGGCAGGAGAGGAGAATCGCTTGAACCCAAGGGTTCGAGGCTGCAGTGAGAAAAGGAAGGGACCAGGCCGGGCACGGTGGCTCACTCCTGTAATCCCAGCACTTTGGGAGGCTGAGGCAGGCGGATCATGAGGCCGGGAGATCAAGACTATCCTAACCAACATGGGGTAACCATCTCTACTAAAACACAAAAAAATTTAGCCGGGCGTCTTGGCGAGCGCCTATAGTTCCAGCTACTCAGGAGACTGAAGCAAGGCAATCACTTGAACCCAGGAGGCAGAGGTTACCGTGAGCAGAGACCGGGCCACTGCACTCCAACCTGGTGACAGAGCGAGACTCCCTCTCAAAAAAAAAAAAAAAAAAAACAAAAAACAGAAAAAAATAAAAGAAAACAAAAAAAGGGGCCAGGCGTGGTGGCTCAGGCCTGTAATCCCACCACTTTGGAAGGCTGAGACAGGTGGATCACCTGAGGTCGGGAGTTTGAGACTAGCCTGGTCAACATGGTGAAACCCCATCTCCACTAAAAATACAAAAATTAGCCAGGCATGGTGGTGGGCACCTGTAATCCCAGTTACTCAAAATGCTGAAGGAGAATCGTTTGAACCCGGGAGGTGGAGGTTGCAGCAAGCCGAGATCAGGCCACTGCACTCCAGCCTGGGCAACAGAGCAAAACTATGTCTCAAAAAAAAAAAGAAAGAAAAGAAAAACAGGCACAGTGGCTCACACCTGTAATCCCAGCACTTTGGGAGGCGGGGAGGCCAACATGGGTGGATCACCGGAAATCAGGAGTTTGAGACCAACCTGGCTAACATGACGAAACCCTGTCTCTAATAAAAATACAAAAATTAGCCAGGCATGGTGGTGTGTGCCTGTAATCCCAGCTACAGGGGAGGGTGGTGGGGAGGGCTGAGGTGGGAGGCTTACTTGAACTCAGGATGCAGAGGTTGCAGTGAGCCGAGATCTTGCCACTGCACTCCAGTCTGGGCAACAACAGAGTGAGACTCCATCAAAAAAAAAAAAATCTCTGAGGGTCTGAATAACCTAAAATGTCCCTATTCTTATGGGAAGAAAAAGAACTAACTCATTTGATACCAAACAATTTTTTAAATGGATATTGTCAACACAGAAACTTTAGGCTTTTGGGCCAGGTGCAGTGGCTCACACCTGTAATCCCAGCTCTTAGGGAGGCAGAGGCAGAAGAATAGCTTGAGCCCAGGAGTTTGAGACCTGCCTGGGCAATATAGCAAGACCCTGTTTTCCACAAAAAGGAGGGGGAAAGACTAAAAAATAAAATAATGGTATAGAGCACCAGAGCAGTGATGGCCCTCTCCACCTTGAAACACACGCACAAGAGCCAGAGTTTACTAATACACTAAATGTGATACATCTGAAACTCTTGTCCTGTAATGTAGAGTTTAGGAAAATGATGACATTTAATCGAGACCTCAGGGAAGAAGAAGGTTGAACTTCAATATTAGAAGAAACATACAAAAGAAAGATTAGACTTACTGTGTGGCTACAGATGCCAGAATTAGGGAAGATAGGTGGCATTTACATGGGGAGGAGAATTCAGGTCAATATGGGGAATTAGGGATAGCAGCATTTTATGTAGACAGAAATATGGTTTGGGAGTTAGATAGAAATGAGATCAAATCAATCAAGAATTTATGGCCAGGCATGTGGCTCACATATGTAATCTCAGCACTTTGGGACACCCAGGCTGGTCAATGTGACAAGACTCTGTCTCTACAATAAATATTAAAAATTAGCTGAGTATGGTGTGGCTCACAGCTACCCATGAGACTGAGGTGGAAAGATTACTTGAACCTGGGAAGTTGAAACTGCAGTGAACCATGATTGCACTACTGCACTCCAGCCTAGGTGACAGAGTAACCTCTTGTCTCAAAATAAATAAATAAATAAATAAATAAATAAATAAATAAATAAATAAGACAGGCACCGTGGCTCGTGCCTGCAATCCCAGCACTTCGGGAGGCTGAGGTGGGTGGATCACTTGAGATCAGGAATTCAGGACCAACCTGGCCAAGATGTGAAACCCCATCTCTACTAAAAATACAAGAAATTAGCTGGGTGTGGTGACTCATGCCTGTAATCCCAGCTATCCGAGAGGCTGATGCATGAGAATTGCTTGAACCCAAGAAACGGAGGTTGCACTGAGCCGAGATTGCACCATTGCACTCCAACCTGAAAGACAAAGCAAGACTCTGTCTCAACAAATAAAAAAATAAATTAAAAATGACAGAATTCAGACGGGTACAGTGGCTCACGCCTGTAATACCAGCACTTTCAGAGGCTGAGGTGGGCAGATTACAAGGTCAGGAGTTCGAGACCAGCCCGGCCAATATAGTGAAACTTGTCTCTACTAAAAATACAAAAATTAGGCCAGGCACGGTGGCTCAAGCCTGTAATCCCAGCACCTTGGGAGGCCGAGGCGGGTGGATCACGAGGTCAAGAGATCGAGACCATCCTGGTCAACATGGTGAAACCCCGTCTCTACTAAAAGTACAAAAATTAGCTGGGCATGGTGGCATGCGCCTATAGTCCCAGCTACTCGGAAGGCCGAGGCAGGAGAAATGCCTGAACCCAGGAGGCAGAGGTTGCGGTGAGCCGAGATCGCGTCATTGCACTCCAGCCTGGGTAACAAGAACGAAACGCCATCTCAAAAAAAAACAAAAATTAGCCAGGTGTAGTGGCATGCGCCTGTAATCACAGCTACTCAGGAGGCTGATGCAGGAGAATCACTTGAACATGGGAGGTGAAGGTTGCAGTGGTGAGCCAAGATCGAGCCACTGCACTCCAGCCTGGGTGACAGAGGAGGACTCCATCTCAAAAAAAAAAAAAAGACAAAATTCCTAGTGATAGAGTAAGCACTCTTTTTTTTTTAAGACGGGGTTTCACCATGATGGCCAGGCTGGTCTTAAACTCCTGACCTCAGGTGATCCACCCACCTCGCCTCCCAAAGTGCTAGGATTACAGGCGTGAGCCACAGCGCCCGGCCAGCACTCATTAATAGTAGCTAATATCATTACAACTAATTTTCTCAGCATTAACGTCATTCAAAAACAGCACACTTCAGGAGGAAGTGAGTAGATGCTTCTCACTTGCTTCTTCATAGAGACCCAACCCAAATGTTTCAGGAAGAATTGCTCTCTTCTCTGTGCTTTCTTGAAGGCTTTTTAACTAAACTCTATTATGATATTGCTGGGCTGGGTTTTTCTTACATGACAGTTCTTCAGAGCCCTGCATCAGCAAAACTGTCTTATAAATGCAGACTCTTGCCTTTTGGGGTAGAGTGAAATAGAGTTTCCTTCTTCCTCCTGATTAGAAGTATACTTTAATATTCAAAATAAAAAAATTAAAAAAACCTTTCAGCCGGCCGCGGTGGCTCAAGCCTATAATTCCAGCACTTTGGGAGGCCGAGGCGGGTGGATCACGAGGTCAAGAGATCGAGACCATCCTGGTCAACAGGGTGAAACCCCGTCTCCACTAAAAATAACAAAAAATTAGCTGGGCATGGTGGCGAGTGCCTGTAATCCCAGCTGCTCAGGAGGCTGAGGCAGTAGAATTGCCTGAACCCGGGAGGCGGAGGTTGCGGTGAGCCGAGATCGCACCATTGCACTCCAGCCTGGGTAACAAGAGCGAAACTCCATCTCAAAAAAATAAAATTAAAATAAAGTAATAAAGTCACCTTCTCCTGCTAGAAGTTCTATTCACTTGCTGACTGGATAGGTGAAAAGAGAGTAAAGCAGAAAGTTTAAAACACACGCACGCACACACACGCACACACACACACACACACATCTGAGGTGAAGAAAGATGAAGGAAACCTTGATCAGCTCCATTTTCTGCCAGGTAGGAGAGAATTTTCTTTATCCAACAAATGTTGATTGATAACTTTATGCAAGGGACTGTGTTGGGCACTGGAAGTATAGTGGTGACAATACAAGGCAGAGTTTCTATTTACGGGAGTTTTGAGTCCAGAAGCGAAGACAGACTTTAAGGACAAGAAAGTGGGTGAATGTCATGATGGCAGTCTAA